TTGAAATTCATAGCTGAGCTGCTAGACCAGACCATATAACAACGTCTTTGGATTTCGTACCAGGAATCCCCTACTGAAATGCACCGGCAATGATATTTATTAGAAAGTCACGCAATTTAGACAATCGCACCATATTTGAAGAAGATATGTTTGCCTTCAAGTCGAAGCTAATTTTATACAAGAGAAGTCAGTATCTTCGTTGATGGCCAAGTTTCATTGAAATCGTTATGAAGTAACTATTTACTGGGTTTCTAAATTTGGCTGCAACTGTATTGCGATCTACTCATCAGAGCTTACTCAATGTGCAGACTACGAAGCCATTAATTCGTTCTAATCTGAGGAAGACTTAAAGATAAACAAATCTGCTGGGAGTCTACTAACCAGCAGTAATAGGGGTGTCGCCTTGTTGCCCATTTGACGAAAAATTAAAACTGATTCGATTGATCGTTTTCTATGTCTATGTCTAGGTCACCAGTTAAAGCCTCCCAAATCCTATATAGAGTACTGCCTTACCATCGGACCTCCTCAATTTTATTTGGAACAGTAAGTGTTTTAATAGATACTACAAATATTGGCACTCTCGCTGTGGGCATTCACAATGAACTAATACAACCCCGAGTGGAAGTATAAAGACTTCATTCACATCTTATAATCTTAACCCAACCTAGCAATTTGACAAGTAGATCTTGGAAGACCGAATAGTCACTTAGAAACTGTGCTAGAGAACTCTATCTCGGACTAAAAGGTGTTGACTACCTGTTGTTGTTGACTCGTGTTACCAACAGGACAAGAAGATGATGTACTTAGTTTGGAACAAATTTCGGACATCCTCTTGCAATTTGAATTTCCCAATTTTGGTAGAGAAAAAATCTTTTCCGCAAGCAACTATCAAAGCTTTAACTTTCTGCTAAAAAAATGTTAAAACCAAACAACTGTACTATATAAGATTTAAAGCCACCACGCGGCTCGAACTTTTTGAGCGACCTTTTAAACATTAATTTTAACCGATTTTAAGTTTGAATTGGTAGATAACAATTAGTTAAAATTTTAATGAGGGTTTGCATTGCCGATTTCCTGACAATCGGGCATGGAAGTTAAAAAGAAATTACTGCAAGAAGCGATAACCAAATCAGACCTTGAAATACTTAAATGCATTGTTATAGCAATGCTTAGCAACAAAATTTAAAAGTTAGTTCTGAGACGATAAGACACTTGCGATAACATTAGCCAAAGCTACAAATAAAAAATAAGAAATAAAAAATTCATTGATCTTTCTATTGTTCAGGTTTTATTGTTCAATGCAACTAAAAAATTCGCGAAACGTATTATATTTTGGTGGTTAACTTCCATTGCAAATCGATAAGCAATTGAACTTCTCACGAACTGCCTGCCGTTCGACCTTCTTTCGTCGTTAATGTTCACACACAGGTAAATTGATTGGAAAGAATACATTGAGTTCGATCAGCGCTGCCCAAATGATGAAGCACAAATACAAAATGGCACAGATCCAACCAACTGTGCGATCCAGTCGGAAACGGTTTCCCAGTAGCGTTACAAATAGGCAGATAACAGATGCGAGGAGAAATGTCACGGAGTAGGTAAGCCCATTTGAGTTTGGTGAAACCCACATTTCATCTGGTTGATTAGGTAGAAAGTATGCTTTGATGAACCAAGGTACGCTGAGGCAGAGCAAAATATCGAAGGTATTTGAGCCGATGGCATTACTGATGCCCATAGCGCCATGCCCCTGCTTGGTGACAATGATGCTGGAAACCGCCTCTGGTACGCTCATGCCGGCAGAGAGAATGGTGAGCCCCATGACAGAATCGGGTATGCTGAGTGTGTCACCTGGAAGAGGTGAAATATTACTTAAAGGCATTTGTTATTTGCAGTGTTGTCAGAAACTGATATGATAGCATAGGATAGAATTGAATAGGTGAGAAATGAATACGATGGAATAGAAAACGAGAGAGATGAGGAGAGAATATCTAGGAAAGGATGGGATATGATAGGATAATGTTACGTTGAAAGAGAAAAAAAGAAATTTCGATTCCAATGGGAGTCCTATAAATTCAAGCGTATCATAGGCGTTCAAATAATTTTTAGCAGACACTTTGTGACAGAAACATAACCCCGCTTTTGCATGGGGGAGGGCAACTCATTATCAGAAAAATACTTTGCTAACGTTCAAAAAAGTTCACAGCCGAATATTTATTAGCAATGCACCAATTAAATCCGTTATCGTGTACAACCGCTATTTTATAGGATGGCAATGAAGATTAATTTTATTTAAAGTGTCAGTTGAAAAAAAAAAATCAATTCTCTGTTAACCTAAAGTACTTAACTAGTTGCTAACAGCGGGTAAGCGGGTTTTAATGGCTACCATAACTTTTTATGAACGTATGTAGATTAAGAAAGTATATTTTTAACAAATAAAGTTCGGTTAGAAAAAATTAATGGCATCATTTGAGGAGGAAAAAGATAAGCGCAGCTGAGCAAAAAAGGGCATTTGAAAATTAGTATGAAAGTAATAAGCAAAAGTTCTTTATTGACATACTCACCGATCACCGTTATCGTATAAGCCACGACATAAGAAATCACAGCAATCCACACAATCGACGCTACGAAAGTAAAATATTTCGCTCGCGCGTGTTTACGACTATCCGGCACAGTTGCGTACAACAAAAATGTAATGGGCCAACGCAAGAGAAAATGCGGCCACGAAGCATCTTTGCGTTGCCACGGTGTGTCAGCAAAGTCTGTGGAGGTATCTGCGTAGGGGAGAGGGAGAGAGATAGAAAGAGGTGAGCGTGAGAGAGACAAAGCTTTCTATTTATTTATTAGTTATCTCATTTTTAGTACCCACCACTACATTGATCCGAGGCGACCGTAGAACTGCAGTTATCAGTGTTTTGTGTCATAGATGCGCGACAGCTCTCTAAATCCTCCAAACTTGGATACAGTTGCGTGGAGGAGCAGGCAGGTATATAAAACGGCGTGAGGTGGTTACTCGAAGCGCATGTGTTTATNTGTGTCATAGATGCGCGACAGCTCTCTAAATCCTCCAAACTTGGATACAGTTGCGTGGAGGAGCAGGCAGGTATATAAAACGGCGTGAGGTGGTTACTCGAAGCGCATGTGTTTATACTACGCATAGAAGCTGCTAATCTGCTGTTGGTAATGCTGCCACAAGTTCGCTTTCGACCAATCAGCGGCGTAAGTTCGTTAACCTCCCAATAGCGACCTATTAAATGCAGCCTACGGCGATACATTGAGACGAGACGACGCGCCGAACGCGCCACCCGGTCATTGTTGTACATCACTGGAAGGAGAGAAGGCAGGAGAAAAGCGAGTTAATAAGTTAATAGTGGTGAAAAATTAGAAAACGATGAATAAGTAGTACTTAAGATCTCACTTATGATATGATAGGTTACTGACTCGATTACAGATCTTATGAGCTCAATTATTCATTAACCCTTCGCCACGCTTAGCTAAAGCTCGAGATAAGATTGTCGACAAGAAGATCCGTCGCAGATATAGTATTACAAATATTCCGCATAATCGGCAGTACCATACCGTCCTGAGATTTCAAATGCCTTCTTAGAAACTACCTTAATTCCCAAATAATGTTTAACTTCTTTGATCTAAGTTTCACTCAACACTTACCCGCCATGTAGAAAAAGTACGCCACGAAGAGTAACAATGATTCATACCACATCACCCTTCCATCCCGGAGCGTAGCGATTAGCGCCAGCACTGCCAGGCAATACATTAGACAATCTCGGCTTACAGGCCACCAATTCAGGCGTGCACTTTGACCTACAAAGAGACCACAACAAGCTGGTACCGCAAGCAGATTAAATACAGATGAGCCCACAATAGTGCTAACACCAATGTCACCCTTCGTCACGAATGTACCGATGCCATTCATAAAGAGTTCCGGACTTGAAGTGGCGACAGCCATGAAGGTAGCGCCGACTACATCGGCTTGCATATGTAGAGCTTAAGGTTGGGAGAACAAACATATGTAAGTACATATGTACATAAAATTCAATCAATACTCACTTTGACATATCAACTCGATGGCTGGCAAGAAGTAATCATCACAAATTACCGCCAATAGCCAGAAGCAATAGAGCGCTAGCAGTATATGGAGTACGATCCAACCGTGTTGACGCTGAGTGCGTGTCAAACCATCAGAGGGGAATTCCAAGATTGCTGCTGGTGTACAATTCAATGTGTGCGAAGTGACATTCGAACGCAGCGAAGCGTCGACTGTGTGGATTGTGTTGGTTGTGGCTGTTGGTGTTGCCGCTAACGACGCTGCAGCTCTTATCTCCTCCAAGGGATGCTTTGATGCGGATCGGCTGCTGCTGTAATGGGTTTCTCTGACACTGATGTTTTCTAGCGAGTTCTCTAAATCAATTGCGCTTGTGCTCACGAGACTGAGTAGCTTTCTAGTTGGCTGGTTGTATTGTTTGAGAGGCACTGTTGGAGCAGAAATTTAGTTGGGTTTAATACTCATTAGCTTTGTGTGTGGAATTCAGTTGATATGAAGCTCAGTTTTAATTTAGAATCAAGCTTGAAAGCTTGTTATTAATAATACATACTTACATGCGCACATAGATGTGAAGCTGTGGCTGTGATTTTAGTAGACAACAACAATTTAATTTTTATTTCAGAGTTAGGTAATTTATGTAACTTTTTCAGAATCATTACGCAAGCATATCGCATGTCTTATGGAAGATTTTCATATATTAAACATAGAGAATATGCTTTTTGGCAAAAGTATTTTTTTGTCGAAAATTAATAACCAAAATAGCAAGGATTAATTAATCGACAAATAAAAATAAACTTTTATTGGAAATATTTTTCTTACTTATTCCTTTTGCATTTTAATAAATTCTAACTACTTCAGCTATTAAAGTAACAAAATATTTTTTGAATTTTTAAAATATTTTTTTGAATTTTTTTTTAAATTAAATATGCCGAATTTCCACTAGACATTGAAACGACAAAAAATTGGTGTCATTTAAAATGTGCCATGTGGAAATGAACTCAACTAAACCAAAATTTTAACTAAAAAATTATATTTGAAAATCACTGCATATCAATCTACTAAGGAAAAATTAAAATTTGTAAACAAACATTAATTAAAAAAGGATCTCTAGTTGCAAATACACATGTATATTTTTATTTCCATGAATAATTATTGATAATTTATAAAAATTTTTTCGGAAAAACAATACCCGAATGCCTTTCATATCAATATTTTTTGGAGTTAAAAAAGGTTTAAATTCAAATAAAAAATCAATAAAATGATGAGAGAAATAACTCCGATTTGGTTGAAAAATCATTCTAGTGGATGAAAAAGACTAGTGTGTAACGAAAATTTCGATAATTTATTAATTAAAAAGTCACAGATTTTTGAAAAGTTATATCCCTGTTAAGTGCCTATTTCGAAAAATTCTTTTATTTGTCCTAGCTATTGACAGTTGTATTTTAAAGTATGCAAAAATTTTAAAAAATCAATTCTTTTAAACGACAATAGATATCAGTATGGATTTGGCACACTTGTACATAAATATTTACGCTTGATGATACAAAAGCAACAATGTCTAATAAAGTAAATAATTTGGTTTTTAATAATTTAATTTTTTGGCAATAATTTTTTCCCTTGAAAGACAAAAATGTGCTTAACTTGATTACCGTTAATAACCAGTAACATTTTTTTTGACACGCGATTTTTTTATGTTGAAAAACCTTTTTTTATATTACAGCATAAATAAATCGCGTTTCCGTTTCTACCAAAAAAAATTTCACCTTTTAATAACCCCTTTCTCTTTTCGTATTCGATTCTAAATTAAAGGTTGACCGATGCGGAAATTATGTGATCCCTTCTTAAAATATCACACTCTAGTAAGGAAAATTCTCTGTACTCTGAAGCTTTGTCAGGGGCGATGCTTAAGGAGGTTGTTTAAAACGATCTAGACACAAAATTAAAAAAATATTTCCCGTTGTATTACTTCGTGCGACAAAAACAAAACAAAAAATAAATATAGTAAAACGCAAATTTTAATTTTTCACAATGACGTCAGAATTTTTTTTCGAAGGGCTTTGAAATTTTAAAGATGTGATTAATTAAAAAAATTATTTTAAAACATCAGTGCAATCTAGAATAACAATATGAATACCAAATGAAAGAGAAAATTCTGTAGAATTTAAAAACAATAAAGTTGTTGGATTTACAAGGACAAATATTAGGTAATGAAAATGCGCTTTTAATAAATTTAACTTTAAGTTAATAAAGTTTTCAAGATGAAATTCGATGATGAGGTCGTGCGTATTTTAGCCCCAAGCAATAATTACAAAAAATAATATTGAAAATTAAGATATTTAGACATTTGTAAGGACATTTTCCACACCCGTCCGTCCTTGTGTACCAAAAAATGTATTCTGTTATAAATATATAGAATTTTTTTTTATATGATACCCTTATTGTTACCCAACACTGCACCGAATTTTTAAATAGTTTTTTTAAATAATCATATTTTTTAAATTGCAAAATCCTTTTAAAAAATTCTGACGCCAGTGAGAAAAAGTAGTAGTAGTACGCAGTTTTGCTATAATTTGCCCATAGTTTCGCTTATATTTAATTTTTTGTGTGTGTAAAATTTACTGTCGCACGGTGTTATATGTGCGTCTTAATATTTAAAAGTTTTAAATTTGCTTTTTTAAATTTTGATAAAGCATTTTTTAAGTAAAATATTTAATTATACAAATTTTTCTCAGGACTTTAATTTCAGAGTTTTTTGAATGTTAGAAACCTTTTTCTTTAATTTTAAATTTTTTCAGAATTCAGACTCGTTTGAATGTTAATAACCTTGTTTTAATTTATTATTTTTTTTTTTGTATAAAATATCTATTAATGAAGTTCTATCATGTAATGAGTTAAATATTCTGGGTGCCGAACAAAGAAATTCTACGTTACAATTACACCAGCTATATCTACTACATATATGTATATTAAAATTTTATATTCCTCACCTTTCTCCACTTGTTGCCGCCAGTCAACGTCAAATAATAAAAAATTTGCGTAAAAGAACAAAATCACACCAACAAAAATGCAACAACGTCGTTGCACCCACAATTTCGATTTTTTTCGATTCGAATTTAGGTAAACACTTTTAACGAAAGTTCGACTTTCACATTTTTGTAAGCAGTTTTCGTCCATCATTCGCAATAGAAAATATTTCTTTAAACCAACTTGCACTCGTATGCGCAAAGCGAAAAGAATGAAAAATAGTTGAAATTTAAAAAAAAAAAACTTTTAAAAATTTGGTAAAAATATCTCTTTTTTATACTTTTGTGTTTTTTTTTAGATTTTCGAACACAAATCACTTTAGTTGTTACACTTCACTTCCTTGTCTTTTTGTACTTCCATATATACTATGTATAATTGCTTCACTCGTTGCTTATCCGCTTTCTAATGAAGTGCGTGTCGGGCTTAAGCGCAGCATTTATAGCAGTCGATCAGCTGCAGCAGCCAAAACTGAGTTTTGTGAATTATTTGCTGCCGAAAAATGCAGTTTCATGATAAGCGCAATTATCGGTTAGGTACATACAAAATATTCATACACATGTAAATAGACTAACTTCAATATACATACATACATATGTATATATGAACTTGTGTGATTAGTTAGTTATGCAGCATGTGAGTGGAAAATTTTGAGTTGCAATTCCAGTGGAGCAGGCCTACAGTGCGTGCAAGTCGTTTAGTGGCTTGGCTACCTGAGTTCAGTAACAATTACTTTAAAAGATTCCATAAAATATTTTTTAAGATCCATTTACCTGGGCCAGTCATGTACACACCTCATGTGCTAATGACCACTTTTGCGATGATACCCCATGCAGGATACTTCTCCTATTTTCGATGCTTTATCTATTTTATGCAATTTTATGTACTTGTATGAGGGCTTGGTTAAGTTCCCATTATTTTCCGGCGAGTTTATACTATATGGACATACGAACCACTCGAGCCAAATACAATGTACATACCATTCTATCTTAGTTCCACATCCAAATAATAGCCATCGCCCTTCGCCTATTAACGGGCAAACCGTCGACGCGTACTACCACTCTGTAGGTTCTGAATGCGATCCCTAGTACGAGCACATCTAAAATTAGGAAGTGTTATTTTTTAACAGCGGTTGGCCTCCAGCTGGCAATCGCAAACCTGATGGCAAAGGCTTGTCCATTTGCCGTTCGGAGGCGGTCTAAAATTGTAGGTCTCTCAATCTTTGTTATAACATCAGCCCGCACACCACAAGTTGGAGCAGGAGCTGGACAAAGCATTATTTGGCCATTCGGAGATAGTTAAGAATTTCAGATAGCTCCAAAATACTGCTACTAAAAATTGGAGGAAAAGCTCGGCCATAACTCAATCGTTGAAACGGCGCAATTCAATCAAGTAGTTAAGCAGGCGGCTATTATCAGTATCCTAGCGTTATAAAGCGCGATACCAGATAGTTCCATCTTAGTATCGCTAAAGCTGGGCAACCTATAAGAAATATTGTGTATAGTGATTGTGTCTCTCAAAAATCTCTAGGCCACTGCGGTAGTAAAGACTGCGATTGGACAGTGGGCTGGCAGAACGGCTTCCTAGAGGAAATACTTTCGTTGGCGAGCTTACACAGCAAAGCATATTTGGTAGGGATGGGCACCGTTTTCAAAAAATCGGTTTTTTGATTAATCACGGTTTTTCATTCAGGTTTTAAACGGTTTAAAAAAACTGGATTAAAAACCTGATCTTTTCGGTTTCCCGAAAAAAAACCGAATTATAAAAACACTGAAAAAATCAAAAAAAAAGTCGATATCGAATTAATCTTAATTTTCACTTCGCCTATATGTATATTTTCTTCTTTAAAATTTACTTACTGCTGTGCAACGCAAATCAATTAAAACAATATTTTTGCTTTATTTTGTATAACAACTTCATTTCCAAAAAATAAGAAATATAATAAAGCGTTTGGCATATTTGAGCAAAAACAAACTTCATTTAACCAACAAAAACTTTTTGTAATAAAAACATAATCCCAATTTCACCAACACGCAGCAAAATTTACAAATTGCTTCTTTGCTAGCTTTTTCTGTGAAATGTAACCACAAAGAACTTCTCTTATTTGTAGGCGCCATACTTGTAATAGTTTTGAATGGCGTTTTGTTCTCAGTGAACAGTAAACTACAATATTCACAATCGACTTCACAATCGATTATGCTTAGCTACCAGATCAGCAAAAAATTGAGTAGTTAATTTCGAGTTTTTGGTGCGCCGTAAAATTTTATTCTCATCTTGAAGATTTACAAGATCGCTGGGAAACGTAAAAACCGAATTTTCGGTTTTCGGTTTTAGAGAAAAAAAAACGATTAACACCTAAATTAAAAAAAAGACTGAAAAAGATCATTAACCAAATTCAAAAAAACCGGTTTTCGGAAAAACCGATCTTATTTGAACATCCCTAATATTTGGCCTAGGTTGGATAAGCATAGGTCTAGCCCTCTACTCTGCTTGGAGCGACCACTGCTTCGGAATGTAATTGGAGTTTTCACCGTGCACTGCCGGATGGGAACCCCCGCTAGTAGGATGGGTATGCAGTCAGGCGACTACTGTCGTAGCTGACGTGATAGGGAGGAAATCGAATGCGTACTGAATTACCTGTGGAACTGCCTAGGATGGTACGTTAGTATATATACATACGTACGCGTATAGAATAATAAATACAACTTACACATATCGATTGAGATCTCCTTGGCATTGTAAGACATTTATCAAAGCACGCCTTGGCAATGATTATTTTGTGATTAGTTATTATCAACATTTACTTTATTGTTTTATATATAACGGTCTTAATTTGTCAAAACCTCATTAAACGAAATAATACCGCACTTGTCGATCAAAAAATACAATGAAAGGCGCGCAAATGACGTCTTAACTTTTTGAAAACAGCCACTGAAATGGACGTCATTGTTGGCGTATTGATTTCTTGGAAATTTAACTAGATAATCAGTGAGGGGGTTTTAAACTTTTTCTATTAGTGAGAAAATATTTTGGTTGTGTGACATAAAATAAATCAAAATAAACAAAGAGTTTTAAAAGTTCGTGCTGTTCGAAGAAAAACGTTGTCAATAGCATCTTGCATACGCTCGATATACCCCAGGCATCGTAGTTGCCTTTAGAGTAGGGGTGTTGGTAGTGTGTTGGCTTACTGGAATGAAGCTTCTATCAAAAATACATATGTACATATTCAGAAGCCTTTCTAAGGTTGAGAGGTGCCATGAGCTTGAGCTGCATATGCACATATGGATCGAAATAGGAAAAATTTGACATGCTTATTTTTTTCGAGAATCCCACAGAACAACAAATTCTTAGTTCTTTTGAAATATTGATGCATACAATTTTTACTCAAAATTTTCTGAACTAAATATATTAGATTTTTTTTCAAAAATAATTTTTTCTACTTTGCAAACAACATAAAATATATTTGTAAATACATATGTATGCATCTTTCTAAACAAAAAAATGTATATTATTTTGTAAAAAAAGTATAAAAACGCAAAAAGATAATTTAATTAATTTTTTATTTAATATTTAAAATTACAAATCTTAGCAACTAACGGTCTAAAACTGCGCACATTAACATTATATATTACTTGATTTTATATTTATTTATATTATTTATTTAAATTTATAAAAACTTCACATAGGTAATGCGAAAAATAAATTTTAGTTATGCTGAAAAAATAACAATATCGCTCAAATATGCGCATCGATATTGAGCTATAAGGAAAATTAAATACACATTCGAGCAGAAACACGGCGGAAACATTTTTGAAAACTTTGTAAATTTTTAGTACGAAACTACATAGTTTTACGGAAAACTCAAGGAAAAACTCTTATTTATAAAATATTTGCAAACCTTATTGTAAACCTTTTTAATCCAAAACTAATTTTACCGAAACCCGAAGGAAAAAACTGCACAAATTAAATTTACATTAGCAAACGAAATCGAGCAGAAAACCGGTGGAAACATTTTTGGAAATTTTTTAAAGTGTTTCAAAATTATATTTGAACACTTGATTTAAAGTGTTTAAAAATTTGATTAAATATTTTTTGTTATCCAAAACTAGTTTTAGCGAAAACCGAAGGAAATGATTTTGCAGAATTTATTAGTATGTATTTAAAAATTTAATTACAAAAATTTGTGAAAGCTTTATATTAAAAATGTTTAATACAAAACTAGTTTTACCGGAAACCGAAGAAAAAATTTTTTAAAATTTAATTTAAAACTGGAAATTTGATCTAATTTTTTTTAACTTTATTTTTTTAAATTTTAATCAAAAGCTAGTTTTACAAATGTAAGTGCTAAACTAAATGCTACGAAAATCTTTTTTTTCCACACCGAATATTGCATGTTTTTTTAACGCTTTTAAGATTTTATAAAGGAAACTTATTTATTACACAACTTACATTTTACATAATTAAGCAAAAGGGTTGTAACTGGTGAATATGTATATTTTCACCGCATGACTTTATTTATTTTCATGAATTCGACACTTTAAATTTTTTCATTGAATAAGAAAGCAATTATTACAAAGTTTTTCTTTTCAATTTATTTACATTAAATTATAGAGTACACTTTTCGCTCAAACCACTGCGCTTTGGCATAAAAATTAACATCAAAAAAATTAAATAAAAATGTTAACAAAATAAAACTTAAACTTATAATACCCTTGTACAACGAAAAAGAAATATATTAGTAAGCAGCTGAGTTGCATAACCAACTGGTTGTTTGTAACTGCTATATCTTCAACTATGTTTTTGTTATTTTAGTTTTTACAAATACTTTTTTTTTACTGCAGCAGAACTTATAATTTTTCTTCTCCCAATTCACTGCTACATATAATTGGATTTTGTGCCCAGTTTGTTTCTTTTTTTACCACTTAAATTTGTACGTCAAATTCGCACACGCTACTACTACTTTCTATCCTTCTCGCCCCTCCATCACGTACTCTCTGCTCGCGTGCACGCTTCACGAACGTCCGCAGGTTGGCAAGTTGACCCGGAAGAAAACATTCAATTCTATCAGCGATGCGAATACCATAAAGACCAAATACATAACCAAGCAGGCCATGCCCACTCTTCGATCCAGCTTGAATTTATTGAACGAGAATGTGATATAGAGCAAAAAGAGGGTGGAGAGTAACGTTATAGCCGAATACTCCAGTCCAGCTGAATTGATGCCGACATAGTTTTGACCCTCTTGTATGGGAAAGAAGACAGCTTTGATGAGCCAAGGTACACCCAAACAAAGTAGTATATCGAAAGTATTCGAGCCGATCGAATTGCAAATTCCCATAGAACCGTGACCTGTAAGGAGAATGAAAAATATGCAGTGAAATTAGAGAGTTTAGGTAGTCGCTATAGCTTAGTGTGGTTAGTACAAATAGATAACTGTGAGGAAGATATCACGGAGGAGGCACGCCATATCTAATTTACTCATTCTTGCTATTCGCTGGCTACCTAACCAGTCGAAAAGTTCCCGTAGACAAATACATACTAACTGAAGAACTTCTGAGGAATCCAAATCGGTTCAAAATGCCTTTGACGACTTTGTGTTCACAAGGTAGACTTATTCCTGACGCACAAACGTCGTTTTTGTGGTTGTGGCGGCTTACTTAGCCATGGATAGATCGATCAAGAAGTTAGTTTTTGTCGTCAAGCTCAACCAAGGTCCGAGAAACAGTCGGTTTCGGCGGGTTCGGATCAACAAGAGGGGGATTTGAGTGGGAGAAATTCTTCCATAAGTCATTTTTTTGAATAGGCGGAAGTTAAGCTGCTTACATATGAGTCTCGTTTTCTTGTTTCCGGTTGGTGATTGGACTCTAATTAGGGCATTCACAAGGTTAGGGTTCATGAAGGCGGTATGTCTGGGTTAATGATGTTTAACCCATTAAGAACCAAAGGAAACATGCTTCCCAAAGAGTTTCTCAGCTCATAACAAAACTGTTTCGCTTTTTATGTGTCCAATTTTTATTAAGTTATTTTTATCATAAAATTTTGGAAATACAAATTAAATATTTTTATCAAAACTTAAAAAAAAATAACCATGAATTAGAAAAATATTAGTTTTTGAAGAAATATGGGTTAAAGAAAATTATAAATTTTTGAAAACATTTTAGTTTTGAAAAATTTCAACTAAGAAAAAAAAACTTAAGGGGTAAAAATCTTAAAATACTTTTTTAAAACTGAATTCAGGAAAAAAAAAAAATTTTTGTGAAATATTTTTTCAAGAAGAAATATATTAAAAAAAAATATTTTTACCAAAAGTAGAAATAATTATCCAAATAGAAAAAAAATGCATAGGAAAGCAAATTTTTATGCAATCAATTTCGAGGAAGATATGTTTCACTTATTTCTTGAAATTTTTTTCCAAAAAATAAATTTTTTATAGAATTTTGTTTTAATGTAGTGCTTAAATTTTTTTTTTTATAAAAGTAAGAAAATTATTCAAACAGAAAAAAACTTGTTTGGGAAAAAATTTTGTTGGAAAAAATTGTTGGGGAATTCGAGTTATAAAAAAATACTTTTTCTTTATTTCCTCTTACAAATGATTTTTTTACCGACCTCAAGAAACAAGAAAGATTTTTATTTATAGACTTACGGTCCTGAAAGGGTTAATTTCTGCCGTATACTGTAGAGTCCAAAATCTGGCTCGTGACGTGCCTGGAGATGCTCGATCTCAAACAGATGTCGGCAACCTAGTTCTTGGAGACTGCTTGCTTGAAGGTGGTGTTCCGCAGCGATTTACTTAAATTATAATTGCGTTTATATATGTTAGTAAGGAGAGAAAAGGGTCAATTCCCGTTCTGCGTTATCGTGAAGTGAAGTTAAAAGTATAAAATTAACAACGAAATAAATGCGGTGTAAAGGTGTTATTTTTATCACTTCAGGATAACGCAGAACGGGAATTGACCCTCAGGCTAGCGCAAAAGGGCCTTTGTGATGCAGAAGTAAGAAAAGTCTGAGAGATTTCTTTAGCGTCGTTATAGCAATCGTCAATTAGTTGGTAGCGAGTTTCGCTAGGCATAAACTTCAAAACTAATTTGGATACTTTTGGGTGCTTAATCTTCAAATACTACTGAAGATTTTCGACCACGCAATTATATGTTTCAGCCCAGACGGCAGACACTAAGTCTGAATGCCTTCTAGTAACCGGAAATGGCTTACAGTATCGGAAGCCTCCAATAAGTCCAACGGTACTAAGATAGTTTTCTCAGAGGCTCGGTTACTAGTTGCTTTGTTGTTAAGTATGTAGGTGCTACGTGAAGTTCGAAAGTAGCATGTGTCTATACTAATTGGGGGCGGAGAGCTTTCGAGCGGTAAGACACTTTTTTTGCTGGTTTTCCAAGAAATAAATACTTTATTGAATCCCACAGAAGTTATTAAGTTATTAGAAGTTAGGTGTTAACTCTTTGCTAGATCCAGTATCTATAATCCGCTTTCCGACATTTTTACCTCTTTTAGCCACAATAACGCTGGAAACCGCCTCCGGCACGCTTGTGCCCGCAGCCAGAAAAGTGATCCCCATTACTGAATCTGGTATTTTCAGTGTGTCACCTGATAAGAAAAAATGGGGAAATTAAAGAAATTTAAATACTGCTTACTACACATGCACCTCACTCACCTATAATGGTGATCATCCAAGCGACCACATAAGACAACGAGCCAATCCACACAATACACATAATGAAAGTCAATGGGAATATCTTATTATTCTTTGTCTTCTTGCAATCCGGTATCGCTATGCGAAAGAGTAAATGTATGGGCCAAATGATGAGCCAAGTGAATTGTGCAAAACAGCTTTTATCCTTTGGATAGTGCAGCAGTTTATAATGTTCTTCCTCATCCTCCTCGTCGATTGCTGCTGATGGCGGGATAGCTACCGAGACAGCGCCGCCGACTGTTGCAGTCGGCTGTAATTCCACGGCTGCTTTTTCTGTAGCAATTGTGGCGGTTAGAATTTTAGCATCGGCCGGTGGTTGTAAAATAGCTGCTGTTGTTGTTGTTGCTGTGGTATTAGAATTTGAATTCGTATTCGAATTCGTGGCTGCGGCGGTGGCTGCAGGAGGTGGTGATGCCGTTGGTTGCAGCTTTGGTGGCTCATTATTTACGCCGCCATTTAATTGTATAGTGGAGAGTTTGTGGCAAATACGATTCTCGACAAGGTCTGCAAGGCGGTGAAGGGGGATTATTGATGTTTAGAATGAGTTCATTGGCCATTTGTTGTTAGTTAAATGGTTAATAGGGGTAAGGTTTATGTAAAGTACTTGCTTATTAGTGTTAGTAAGCAAAATGGATTCAAGCTGCATGAAAGGGGTATATTGTTTAATAGTTAAGAGATAAGATTTAGCGTTAGATAAATATTTTTGCAAGAGCAATCAGCGGAAACAAGTAATCATGAGATCTTAAAAGTGAGCACACCTTTTCGCATTCATATCCTATCTAAAGTTCGGAAATTCTGGAAAAGTTATTCTTAACATTTCCAAGTGGTGCTTCTCAAACGACTACCGAAGAGTCAATTAATAAAGGGAGCCAGCTTCCCAGTATTTTTGAGATATGGTTTCCTAGCGTATATATGTAACTCGGGAGTTTAGTTGAAATTTTAAATAATTTCGATATTAGTTCCTTACTTTTCGTCCAACAATTTGGAGCTCAGACTAAATTAATTATTTTAAAAATTTATTGATGAGAACAGGCCGGTGTCACCTGAAAGAGTCAGTCAGACAGGGTTTCGCCTTAGATATTTCCTATATATGGAGTTCTACCCAAGTTGTCACTCACGAATCAATTAGCGCCTAAAAGCGCCATTTTGGTGCATTTCTCGTGGACAATGATATTTTATTCTACCGTAGCCTACCTGTCAGAATATTTCAGCAGTTTAGTCAAACCATTTAGAACCGCTTATGTATTTGTAGATAAATCCAATATCTGCTTCAGTTAGTGTTTCCTGAAAGTTTTATGTCTTAAATAAGCCAGACCTGGGCATTCGCATAGGAAATGAAATACTGTTTCTTCGCTGCCATCCAAGCCGCAGCGGCGCATATTCTGTAATATGGAAGACCTATTCTACAAGCATGTTTCCCTAGTGACCAATGACCGGTGATAGTCGCTATAATTCTAGATACTTCTATCCTGGACCTAATTAGCAGTTCTGCAGTTCTTTTCCTACTAATTTTCCTACTAAAGTCAGGCCATAGCTGTTGTGCTATCTTGCAAGTTTTCTGAGGGCATAACCCAGTATCACTGCTACAGGTTTTTCCAAACAAGCTCCCGCCTTGGCCAGTTCATCTGCTCTCTCGTTGGCTTCAATGTTCCTATGGCTGGGAACCCAGTCAAGATAGATGAACATTGACTGAGACGGCGAGCGTAGCTCCATATCTCCTTCTTTTACTAGCTTGACAGACATCACATATGCCTATACATGCATGGTTTTCCAGCTGGAGGGATCGATTGACTCCAAGCTCCTCGGAATATACCCCTGTCCCTGCACCGTAATCCATCTTGGACCCGTCAGTGTAGATACAGATGGCTTCCTTTTCGGCAGAACTTGTACATTCAAGCCAAGGCTTGATACCGTACAGCCTGAATTTTATTTCCTATCGAGGCCTAAGATTGAGCTATGCCCAAAGTTCATCAATCCCCATAGCTCAGACCCTCTGAGTCGTAATGCTGAGTACATCGCGGTTTCCTTTAGGCATAGCTCAATAGGCAGTCATACTGAGGACTACGTTCAGTGCTTATGAAGGGCAGGATTTCACTGACCCAGTTGCCCCCGAGCATGCCACTCTTTGTACGCTATTTAGTTTAATGATCATTGTATTGTTTGCCACCATACTAGGGTGCCGTAGGTTGAGGATTGGCCTTTGATAGCGGTGTACATCCATATCACAAGTTTCGGTTTTAAACCCCAGTTTCCATTGAAGGTCATTAAGTTTCCCGTTTAATTTGGTATCTGGAAGTACTGCCAGATATTTCGCATTGGACGATAGGTGGATTATCTTTCCGCCAAGAGATGAAATTTGACACAAATTTTTTTACTAGCTAAAATTTAGACCTCAGCTTGCTGGATTGCTTAGAACAAAGTATAACGTGGATTCCACGTCATCGTTTTTGAGATATTTTGCCTCACCACGTGAATTCTGATCGAACTTTGACCTGAAAAACACTATCCAAGTTCGAGACATGTCGCTTTATCACTCCAAGAAACTTTCACGATCGTCTCTGGTACACCCACCCCACCCACCATAAGTCTAAACTTAAGTCTGATGATGAGTTCACGACCCAAGGTACCTCCGTCAAACTTTCCATCAAGCTTCGACGGGTCCATCTTTTAGTTACTGCCTTCCACCCCTTCACTCTCGGAATTCGGGTAGTTAGAAATTATACGAGTACCACGGAAGGCATCAAGGCTAGCTTGTAGTACCTACTCCTATTAAACTGTAAGTGGAAAGGTGCATTGTTTTTCTTTTTTATCCTCCACCCCTCCACCTCTCCTCGTGAGATCCGTTTGGTTATAAAAAGTAAGTAGCTTGGCCGACTTTGGAAATTTTTAGCTTAGACTGTGTGGATTTCATTTTCCTTTTACTTTAACCAAACAGGTGATGGTTAAACTAGACTTTGTTATGTAGATTGGCAGTCTCATATTGCACCGTTTACATAGCTTTACCAAGATTTGGGTTCTAGGAGATTCATTACTGGCAAGGGTTACGCGAGTTACAAGGGTTATATTTAACTAGGTTCAATTAGCGTGTCTTTCCAATTTTTCGTGGCCTGATGATGATATCGTTCAGACTGCATCCCTTAGTAACTGGGATTTCCTAACATTTGCTCTAATAACTAACTCTAGTTGGCAGAGTTTGAAAGAATACATAATTTCTTTTGTATGATAAACTTATGTAAATAAAAATAATAATAATATTCAGAAAAAAATTGATGTTCACTTAATATGTACTAAATATATGAACGCAATTAAATGTGTGTGTTTATTAGTTTATTTATGTACAGAAGTATATGTATGTACATGAGACCGTACCACCTTACACCACAGTAAACCAAACATTTTCGCCGTACATCCCTCGTTCTAAACTATTTTTGAAAGGCAAGCTGGAAAACAATTTTTTTCGAGACCTAAAATACATTCGGCAATAAAAAATTATTATCTGGAATAATTCAAAATACCAAAAAATTTTGAAGTGCAGAGTAATTGTTTGTTTTATTGTAAAACAAAAATTCAAATGGGAATTTTCCAAGGCGAATTTATATAAGGTGGTGTTACTAGCTCAGCTGATTTTGTGTATGTGTTTCGCCGCACGGCTTCTGATATCAAATTGAAAAATTTTGTTTGAATTTCTACACACACTCTTACAGATTTTGACAGTTTATGCCGCCAAAGCAAAAACAAAATACATGTAAATTTTTGTTTTTGTACTCCTGCTATCACCTTATATTAATTCGCCTTGGAATTTTCATTACAGCTTTGGTAGCGAATTCGCTTTTTCAGTTCAAAATGTATTTCAGAGAAAACAGCTGTAATTTTGTTTCATTCGATTCAACTTGGGCCCACTTTTATGTACTACATATTTATACCTTTTTTGTTGAATGTTTTATTGTTTTATAAAGAAATACAATTTATTCCAAGGCGAATTCATATAATAAGGTGACGGCAAAAGTTCAAAAACAAAAATTCCACTAACAAATTTTACCCATAATGACAATGAGAATTACATTATTTTGACATTAAAAATCCCCAAGGCGAAAATTCAGCTGCTTTGGTAACACCATTTTACCTGAATTAGCTTTCATTTATCCTAAATGAGTAAAAATTATATAATAATGTTTCTTTTAAAAAAATCTACCAACTTCTACCAATTTTTGTATGCAAAATCTACCAATATTAATTTTTTCGAAGTCCGCGCACTGAGTCGGTACTCACCCCCAGTGTTGCCATTTCTGTTTCTGCCGTCCCGCCAGATTAATAAACAAAAATCGCTAGAATCCTGCTAAATCATTTAAATTCTGTAAACTCCTATGAAAAAAATTTCTTTTATAATTTAGCAGTTAAACTTTATTTGATAAAATTAGGGATCATATGTTTATAAATAACCATCAGTTTTTTAACAAAAACAAAATTGGAACTTCGTTATATTGTTTTATAACCCGTGTTGGGATTTGGTGGCATTAAATAAAGTATAAAAATTGGTCATAAGA